GACCCTACGCAGAGCTGGTGGGCTGCCTCATGTACCTGATGACTTGTACTCGGCCGGACCTCGCCTTTCCCCTCAGCATCCTTTCTCGCTTTGATGCGACTAGGAGACAGCGTCCTGTCCACTGGACAGCTGCTGTGAGGGTGGCGAAGTACCTGGCGACTACATCAGGCATGGGGCTTGTGCTTGGAGGGACTCAGCCAGTGGCGTTGACTGGTCACTGCGACTCTTCCTACGCTGACGACGTGGAGACTCAGCGCTCGACTCAGGGTTACTGCTTCAGTCTGGGAGCTGGTGCTGTGTCGTGGAGGTCTACACGGTCGTCATCTGTGGCTACTTCCAGTGCAGAGGCAGAGATCTACGCTGGTGCCATGGCGGCACAGGAGCTTCGCTGGTTGACCTTCTTGCTCGCCGACCTTGGTGAGCGGCCTCGCTCTGCACCGACCTTGTACGCTGACAACAAGGCCATGATCCTCCTGTGTCGAGAGCCTCGACTGGAGAGCAGAGTGAAGCATATTGACGTGAGGTACTTCCTCCTGCGAGAGCTGCAGTGACGCGGCCAGGCACGCCTGGACTTTGTGGCCTCAGAGGCCAACACTGCAGACGTCTTCACCAAGACCTTGGCGCTTGGTGACCACCACAGGTTCTGTGTGCAGTTGGGGCTTGTTGAGGTAGGCCCTAGGTTGCTGTAGTCCTGTTGTTTCCTCTGCTTGTTGTGCTTTGTATTTATATCCTAGTGAACTCTTGAACTGGCCTTGTGGCCGCTTGCTTGCGCTCGGAATTTGTGTGGTGTCCTTGAGATCCACCCTGAGCTTGTCTTGCCTTGACTGGTCTTGTGACCGTTTGTTTCACCTTGCTTGCCCTGGTGTCCCTCACTTAGCCTATGGGGGTGTGTCAAATGTTAATGTTATGATAGGCTGCAGTGAGGCACTCCCTAGAGGGTACAACATTTGTAGGACTCCTATTTGTATGCTTGCAAACCCTAATCCCAATCATTCCGTTGCATGTAGATTCTGAGAACCTTGTCTAAAAGAACAGATGAATTTAAGGGACATGACTAGGCCATCATCTGAATCATAAAAAGCGTGTCTGAAATTCAGACAAACAGACAAAAAAAATCTGATAACGTTGTTGGAAACAATCAGTCTTAAGCGCCTCTGTCGTGTCGAAACACCAAGACACAAGCGAAGCAAAGCATATCGAGGCACCAGCGAGTCAACCCTCGGAGGTTGAAGTAACCGCTGGAGGTTACGCGAAAGTCAAAGGTCAGCGACCTTTGACCTGACAAGTACAGCGCGACAGCAATGACACACAACTGACTCGCTACAGAGCAGTTGCCCGAGTCGTCACTGTATCGAACCGCAACAGCAACAGTAAAGTAGTTACAACCGTGTCTCTTCGTATTCCTTGTACTCTTATATAATCTTGTATCTCTTTGCTTTAATCAATCGACTTTGCCCTCACATACTAGCGCAAGGTGGTTCACAATCTCTTCACAAAACGCTTCCGCTATTACAATCCTACCCAGAGTTCATCCCTGCAAAGATCCTAAGGGCTTTTCTCAGCCCAACAAACGCTGCATATGGCGGGAGGGAGGTGTGGCTGTCAGAGGAGAGCTGCTGGAATTCCGAGTCTCGCTCGAAAATAATTGAGTGGGGTGAGACCGCGAGAGCGTCACAGATCTGGCGGGAGGCAGCAGTGGTTGTCGGTCAGTCAGTGCAGAGGTGCTCCAGGGTTGTGCGTTGATGTCGCTGCGTGGTGTGGGTGGGAGAGAACGCTCTTCCCGCAGCAAGAATGCCCTCATTGATGACTTCAGTACACTTTGGAGTACACAAATGCGTATATATTAAACATTTACAAATTATATTTGAGCTTGAAAATTCTGTACATAATTCAGTATAACAGTTGAAATTAGCTGTAGAAATGTAATCACATTCAACTTAAATGCATGTTCAGTTTATTGTTTTATACGTTCCATTCCAGACAAGAACCTACAAGTTTCATTACAGCAGCACACCTAATCCATCTAGTGAGCAGCCTGGAAGTCCTTCATGAGCTTCACCAGCTTCTCCACGCCAGCACGCGGCATGGCGTTGTAGATGGACGCACGCACGCCGCCCACACTGCGGTGGCCCTTGAGCTGCACCATGTGCTGCGCCGCGGCTGCCTTGAGGAACTCTGCCTCCAGCTCTGGCGTGGCCATGGTGAAGGGCACGTTCATGAGTGACCGCACTGCAGGCGCCACCGGGCACTTGAAGAACCCATTGCTGCTGTCAATGGCCTGCGGAAGAGCCCAGGGGGGAATGGGGGACAAATGGAAGTGAGGGAGGGGGTTAAGGGTGGGGACGGGAGGCGAGCGGATGAAGGAAGAGGCTTAGAGAAAGGGGAAGGGATGGGGGGAGGAGTAGTATGCGGAAGAATGAGTAGCGGGATTCAGGGTTTCTGGTACAAATGTTGCTTAGGAACTGGTGAGTGGGTGGCCACGGAATGTGAGAAGGGAGCAAGACAAGCAAGGAGCAGCAACACAGAGCTGGCGACTCAACAAGGCAGTGCCATTCACCCGCAACACGCAGAGCAGAAGCCACTCACATCGTAGAGCAGCGCTGCCTTGTCCTCGTTGCGCTTCTGCACGCCTGCGAGCCCGCCCTGCTCCAGCAGGTCCGCGAACACGAGCCCGCACATGTAGATGGGGTAGCACGGCGGCGTGTTGTACATCGACTCGTTCTCCGCATGAATCGCGTAGTCCATCATCACAGGGGTCGACGGCTGCGCCTTGCCCAGCAGATCCTTCCTTAAAATCACAATCGTCGTGCCGGACGGCCCCACGTTCTTCTGCGCGCCCGCGTAGATCACGCCGAACTTGGACACGTCCACGGGGCACGAGCAGAAGTGCGACGACATGTCCGCCACCAGGAGCGTGTCCTCGCCGCACCCCGCCTTAATCGCCGCAACAACATCGTCATACGCCTTAAACTCCACCCCCTGGATCGTCTCGTTGGAGCAGATATGCACGTACTTGGCGCCCTTCGTCAGCTTCCACTCCGCCGGCGGCGGCACGTCCGTGTACTTCCCGGGCTTTCCCGTGGCGGCGAGATTCGTCTTGCAATACTTCCCCGCCTCCTTGTAAGCCTTATCGCCCCAGGAGCCCGTGACGACATAGTCCGCCGTGTCGTCGGGCGTGCAGAGGTTGAGCGGGATGGCGGAGAACTGCGAGGAGGCGCCGCCCTGCAGGAAGAGCACGGCGTAGGAATCGGGGATGGCGAGCAGCGCGCGCAGATCCGCCTCCGCCTTGCGGATGATGGACAGGTACTCCTTGCCGCGGTGACTCATCTCCATCACGCTCATGCCGCTGAACGGGGAGCGCGGGAGGGAGTGGGGGTGGGAGGCGGGGGAGTGGGAGCGGGGGATGAGTGGAGGGCGGGGGATGGCGGACTGCGGAGGGTTGGTAAACATGCAATTGAGCCGTGTTGGAGCCGTGTTTCACATGAAATTGAGTAAACTGAGAAAAAAGAAGACTTTTTAACGTTTGGGCAAGATACTGAATCCAGCAAGGGTGCTGAAGAAACTGGCAGACTCTTGCAAATGAAATCGTGGTACAGATCTCCTCGGCCAGAACGATCTAGATCAGAACATATTATATTTTTGAATTCGAGTGCAGTGAATCTTGAACGACAGAGGAGTCGGCGCACCTAAACAAAAAAAAAACAAGAACCTTTTTTTAACGTTCATTCACTTAAACTGCTCACCTGCCATTCCAGTCAACAAGCTCTGCCTGGGCCTTCTCCAGCACGTTACGCGGCAGCGTAGCGGGTCCAGCGGAAAAGTTGTACACGCGGCTCTCGTCCGACGTGGCAGCCGCCGCCTTGGTGTCAGGCGCGGTCGCTGTACACGTCACCGGGGTCGTCGCCGCCTTGCCTCTGAGCGACACGGAAGAGGATGTGAAGGACTGAGGCAGCGGCCGAAACTGGTGGCTTTGGGACAGATCCGATGCCCTGGAGGCGAGAGATCCGGACAACGCGGTGACAGTCGACATCGCGAGAGTACGTGCGGCCATTGTTGCGTCGCGGCGCTGGCAAGAGAAAAAGAAGGGATGGCCTTTACGGAAAGGTCGCACGGACTTGAATCTTTCTAGACGATCGGCTGTGGCGACGAAGAGCGACGGGTGGCTCACAAGGGTTCAGGGGAGACCGGACAGGAGCTTCAGCACGGCGACCCAGATCCACTGAATGGGAGTGCAACCTTCAAGGAGGCAGTGGAGTTGTTCTGACAGCAGAACGAAATGGCTTTGATCAATAGCAGTCGCGCGTGATATGTGATGCGAGCGCAGTGGAGCGAGAGTGGATTCGGCGCGCCGTGAGCTGGAGATTGGCGCGGGTCATTGACACGAGGCTGGAGGACAAGATACAAGTTGAGGAGGATCACCCTCAACCCCCAACAGGGTCACTAAGTCAGGATTTGGACACGGCTCGGTTAGTTCTAATCAGATACCAGAAGTTTTTAGTACGGTGAGAGGCTAACAGGTAACCACGGCCTGAGTTCTCCTTGTGACACGTAGACCCGACCGCGTCTTGTCGGTTCTGGTGCGATCCCTCAGCCCCAAGCCTCGCGGGATTCCCTAAATTGCAGAAGAAGCCTCATTGTTATGTGTTCGTATGGATCCACCGACGATGTTGCGAAAGTGCACCACTTTGTTCACATTTTACAATCGAATCTGCTACAGAAGAGAGCACTCGGCCCCAAATTGTGTCGACGCGGCATGTTCTTGATCACCCAACTATTCTCAAAAACAGCACACGATTGGATGCTTTTTCCCGCGACTGTGTTCAGTCCGCTTTCGCTTTCGCTTGTGTGCCAGGGAGGGAGATTCCCGTTCTCCACCGAATGAGCAAGGGCAAGAGACTCGTTCATTGGATTCAACTCACTCCCATTTTACAACATCATTCCCCATTTCCCTAGTCACTTCCGAAGCCGAAGCACCAGTGACGCAGACCCGTCTTCCAGCAATGGCTCTCGCGCAGATTGGTTCTCTTCGCCCCTGTTCGCGTCCATATGAGTCCGTGTTCATATCTGCTTCGAATTCCAGAGATTCTTCATTTCGTCGTCCAACCTCGACCACTCCACTTGTTCCACGCTCCAGCAATCGCCCGCACGCCGTTAACCCGTCGTCACGTGGCCTCGAATTCCACTGCTTGCGAGTTACCGCTATTTCTGCTGCCGCCAAAAGCGTCGAAACCTCAACGGACAATTGCTTGGTTGACCATTTCGCGACGGACGACCGACCCATCGTGCTTTACGACGGTATTTGGGCTTCTCAACATATTTGCACTTTCTTTAGACTGCTCACTGTTCCCGTGATATTATGATAACGCTCACGATTGATTTTTTCAGCTACGGATACCAAGTCGTGACGTATCATTGATTGCGTTTGTCTAGAAACTCATGAACTCTGCCTGTTTCCCGCCACACGCCGCCTATCCTCTGCTGGAAAGTACACGGATTCATCAAACTCATCGTGCCATACCCTGCGTTATCCAGCACGCGCCGCCTTATTCCTTGCCTTATTCCCTTCCCTGTGCAGGCGTGTGCAACATGTGCAATGGCGGGGTCAATTTCGCCCTTGATGCATATCCACAGGGGTGAGTGCACGGGTAGCAGTCGCAGGTTCTGATCCATGTTCAACTTGTAACGACCATTTTCTAACTTCTAGTGGCAATTTAACCCCGTGTTAGGTCCTCCTCAGCTAACATTTTCCTTGGCTCCGCTTAATCGTCGTGCTGTCTGCTAAACCTTTACCTCTGCCCCAGCCCCGTCCGTCCCCTCAACCAACTATGCCGTGCCTAACGTTGCGCTACTCCAACCCATACTTTGTCGCCGTTTCAGTCGTCTCCGGTTCGCAGCATTGCAGAGTGAGGCTGGGCGTTCATTGCTGGCTCGTTCCGGACGTTCACCAGAAGACATCAGCAGTATAGTGCTGGTCGAGAGGGATGGGTGAGTTTCCACCATGGCTGCTGTGTTTCTTCCTAGACAACCAGAGCAACTGCTGCTTTGTCCTGCTTTCTTCTAAGCACTATCCACACGCACTCACCGTGTCTGTCTCTCCCATGTTTTCCCATGTTTTCCCACTGCCCATCCACCCTCTCTCCTATACCCAGGGCTTACATAAAATCAGACGCAGTGTTGAGGATTGCTCGCCTTCTTGACCTCCCATACCCACCATTGGCCTTCCTCGCCTCACTTGCACCCAAGTAATGGCTTGAACCTGTCCTAGCATGCGCTGGAATCATGTTTGCGTGTCTCCCGTTTTGCCCAGTCTTACCGTATGAGGTGCTAGTTACTGTTTTCATTCTGCCTGACTCACCTCCTCTCCTTTCCTATCCCTGACGCATCGCTTCACAGGCCACTGCGGGATGTGGTGTATGATGGCATCGCAAACAACAGATACTCTATCCTTAGCATGCGTGATGTATGTAGACTGTCTGATGGTAGATACGAAGATAGGTTTATCTCTTAATCTGAGGATGTCTAACACACTTAACAACTCTAGGGATGCATAAAGCCTGCATTTGCATGTAGTGAGCATGTATAGTACGAATCCTCCGTCCATATATCAGACAAAACTTTGTTTTGCTTCCACCTTATATTCATGAACTTTGGTTTGTCAATACTTGTCAACAATTTAGTTGTAGACTATAAGCGACATAGTTTTGTATAGCGTGCCTGACTGTCACTATGGTACATTATGTATTGGTGGAAGTATTTGCGATTTAGCACTAAGTGCTCAAGTGAAATATCATATATCTGATGAGCTTGCCCACCTGTCAGATAATTTCGGTGATGCAGCTTTCATGAAATCAGGCCGAGTTTGGCGGGTGTTGTCGATGATCTCAACTGGGGCACATCTCACCTCACCCCTGTCACCGCTTGGCCAATCTGGTGTTTCCTACAGTATCCTGTCCGCCGTTCGATCCATCACTCTGCATCATCCGAACTGACTCGACCTGAGCGAAAAGTTTCAGAAGTGACCGGGAGTGGCACAGTACTGTACAGTAAGCGCCAACGTGGCTGTGCGCTGACTGGGCAGTTCATTGATTGTCTCCAGAGGGCTCAGACCAGGGTCCTCCCACTCCACTTCACCACCCCGTCGCCCCCCCAACACCCTCGAGAGTCGAGACTGCCATGTCCTGCTGCTCCGCCCTTGGTTTCTGCTCCCACGTGATCCTAGGCAGGTCAGGGTCGGGCAGCTCAGGTCAGCCATTCTCTCAAGCAGTCCTTGTTCGAGTCGAGCCCCCCCTCCTCTCCTCATCTCACCCCTCCTCCCCTCTTCCCGCCACACAAACCGAACAGTTCCTTGGTCCCTGAATCAGGACCTGCATGCATGCTGTAATTGCGAGTGGAAAAGGCTATGTGGATAGAAACCTGCAATGTTTCACGAGATCTGTGGGAGGCAACATTTGTCTCCTCGTCATGGGCGTTTGAGAGGCAATCTCGGATTTAGAAAGGTTGATAATTGCTAGTCCGTCTCAGCTACATGATTCTAGTGCCAGGCCAGTTCCTTGATTACAACCTGGCCCCGTGGATTAGTTAGTATTTATGTGTGGACGGACTCCCCCATTGCACCAGTGAACAAGGTAACTAATCGCATCCGTATGAGACTCGGTGAACAGACTTTCGGCTTACTGCTTGCTCATTTCTTGCACTTTCCCTGGCGATGCTTCAGTGTGCCTCTCCTCCTCTTGGCACGTACACACATTCATCGTCTCCTTTCCACCTGCATTCACCGCTCGTCGCCGTTATTCCCGTTATCTCTCCTCCTTTCCTTTCCCTCCCTCTCATCCCCCTTCTTGTTCCCAAGTCGCCATCGTGTCCCTCTCCGCCCTTACTCGCTCGTTCGTCAGTTCCCTTCAGAGTCGTTACAAAATGCTCGTCCCTTTCATTCGGTTCGCTTTCCTGTCGTTCGCTCTCAATCCAGAATGTATTCCGTAGCTTGAACCAGTGTTTCGCCTCGTGCACCACCTTTGTCGTCTCGCACTTTCAGCGGTCCCACCCTGATTCCATTATCATTCGATTCCGTTACTGTCTTAGGCGGTTCTGTTTGTCTTGAAAAGCTGCGAAACGCGTGAAAAAGTATCATGAGTGGAAACGCGGCAAGCGTTTCACTTTTCGAAGGGACTGAATGATGTGTCGACTCTGTTTGAACTGCGATATCGACGAACCGTGGCTACCCTATCGCACCCGTCCATTGAACTCGCTCCTGCATTTCTGGTCTACTCCTCATTCTCTTCAGTGATGTTCAACCCACTCCTCCCGTCGGATCCGCAGATATATCGATCCCGCCCAGCTCTCCACCAGTGAAAGCCAGCAGCTGCACTGGTATCAGCCCAGCTCATCGGGCGTCTCTCGCTCACTGGCCCAGCGCTGCGATCTGCCCTTAGGAGCAGAGAGGAAGTAGCGCTGGGGTAAAGAGAAAGGCGAACTGGAGTAGGATAGGGGTTCGCAATGCAAGGCTGGGCGAGTGCCATATCGGCGGCGCGGGACTGGGTGGATACAGCCACACGTAGGGATTCGCTGGGCGGCCCCGAAGAACTGACCAAAGAGTAGGTTAAAATATCCCAAATGTTTTTTTTCTTCACCCTTCTTGAGGGTTTCTTCATCCTGCTGCGAGTCAGGCTAGGTCTCGTCCGCCTTCCGAAGCCTCACGTTTTTAGCTAGAGACCGTGTTCGTTGGATGGGTGTGTTAGCGTTACCGCGCCCGCCTCCCGAAACCTAATGCCAATGCAGCGAAGCGCACGTCGGCTCTAGTCCGGGGCTAGGGCTACGCGCGCCGACGTAGTTAACGATGTGGTCATATCATCTGAGCGCTGCCAGAAATCCGCATTAGGGTTTGCCCGATGTCGAATTTGAAAGAGCGCGTTGCGGTTCCTGGTCTGTCTGGCTGACGTCGTTTCCGGTTCTGCTTCGCAGGGAGGAGCAATGGGCCGCGGATTTCAGAAGGCTATGGGAGATGTTCAGGAGCTCGCACTCCGAAGGGGTAAGCTATCCTCTCGTTTCTCCCCCGCTTTCCTCTCCCTCCACACCCCCCCCTCCCTCGCTCCCCCTTTCGTTGACATTCGTCGGCGTAAAGCTGAAGGGTCGAGCAATGAGCGACTCGCAAGCAGTTCTGAGTGTTGTGCGTCTTTCTCCTCGTGGTGCGCGCCGTGGTTACAGGAGCGCATGACTGCCTTGGTGATGGCTCTCCGGCTCTTCTGCAAGCTGCTCGACGACAAGAACCACGTCGCGGAGATCGTCCACTAGTGAGTAGTAGTATACCCGCACCGCACAGCCTACCCGCCTTTCCTCGCCTTGCGACCCCCCCGCCCGCCCTCCCCCTCTCCTTCTCGGCCCGCCTCGCCCTTGCGCCTGGTCTCAATCACTCTCAATCTCATTACCCAGCGTGTTGTTGAGAGGTTCCTCTCGGCGACAGTCGTAATTTTACTTCCCCTCCTTCCCTCTTTCCCCGTTACCCCTCCCCCCCCCACCCTCCCTCTCCGAACCCACCTATTAATTTCTATCCATCACCCCACCCTGTGTTGCGCGCGCGCATCAGTCTTGTGGACGTGCGGCCGTTCCAGTTTGTGGTGGCGCGGCTGTTCTGCGAGGAGATTAACACGCGCCGCCGAGCGCGCGGGGCCAAGGGCTTCTTCCCGCGCAAGGAGATCATAGAGCTGCTCTCGTACGACGACCAGGTGAGTTGCACGCTAACGCGAACGTGAATGCAATGCGCGCGCCTTAGTTTAAATGCTGATGCTGAGAGCCCTTGACACCACACCGCACGCATATTGCTGCGGGGAGAGCATTGCTAGTCCGTCCGTCCGTTCCGCTCACTCATTCCGCATTCCGCGCTGGTTCGCTCTCTCCCTCCCTGTTCGTCTCTGCCCTTCGCCCACAGGAGGATGTCAAGCTCTCGGGCGCAGTGCTGTTCAGAAGCCTCGAGCATCTCGTCTCCCCGGTACGCCCTCTTACCTCTTTTCTTCCCACCGCATTGCACTCCACTCGATCCCTCTCTATGAATGCCCTCTTCCCTGCCCCACAACATCACCGTCCCCTGCTTGCCTCCCGTCCATCCACCTCGTTGCTTGCCATGACGCCCCTCTCTCCAGTCCTCCACTCCTTTCAACCCCTCTCCCTGTCCGTCTCCCTTATCAACCAATCAATCCCCGCGTTTCCTCCCCTCCTCCCGCCCCACCACCCTTTCTCGCCATCTTCCCCCCTCCCCGCTCTTCCCATCTCCCCCATCCCTCCTCTTCCCTCGACCTCCTTCCCGCCAGCCCCTGGAGGTGCAGGGGCTGTTGGATGCGGGGCTGCTGTCGATGCTGGTGTCCATATTCACGGAGTTCTGTGTGCCGGACGACGACTCCGCGTCCTTCAACGGCGCTGACGACCTAGGAGAGGACGACCCGCTGCTCGACCCTCGCGGCACACAAGTCGAGGTGTGTTGGTTTGCGTTTTTGCTGAGGGGCCTCGGGAAGGGGATATGTTAGGCGGCTAACATGGGAATGAAGCGGCGTGTCTGTTGGTGTGTGTGGGGATGGGGTTAACGGGTGATAATATCGAGTACGCTACACAGTGCCGAGATAATACAACCGTATACGTGTCACGCAATCACGCACCAATAAAGAGTGCTTGCAGTCATTTCTGTTGTTTGGATTCGTCCTACCAAACTGTGTTCCCTTCCCTCCCCTCCACTTCCCCCATCACCCCTACATCCACACATTCTCGTAAATCACCTCTCTCTCCCATACCCCACGCCTCTCCCATACGGGTCATTCCCCACCCACACCTCTCTCACAACCCACGCCTATCCCAACAACCACATCTCCCCCGGCGGCCCTCCATATCTGCGACACCAGGACCGTGTGATAGAGCTGATGAAGGGGCTGGCGGTGCACAGCGGGGCGGCCGTGAGTCTGATAGAGGACGACTCGCTCAAGAAGATGTTCCGCGCTGCAGCAGGGCTCTTCTCGCCCTCCTTCAGCTACATGGGGGATTACTCGGGCGCTGCTGCTGGCGCCGCTGCTGCCAACCTCGAGCTCGACCCCAAGCTGCGCAATGCAGCAGCAGAGGTGCGTGCTTGCCACAGTTCTTTTCTTTTTTGCTATTTGACTTGGTGTGGCGTGGAGTGCGAGGTCATGGTGTGGTGTGACTCTCAATGCGCTCCTCGTCCCCATGAAATTTCCACTGCAAAAATCCATTCTTGCCTATCCGTGGGTACTTGCTCGCTCGTGCAATATTAGGGCCGATCAGTCCTTGACCTGTGGTGTCTCGTCTCCTCTTTCCTGTCACCTCTTTCCCTTTTCTTCCCCATGCTCCTCATGCACATCCTGTCAGATTCTGGAGCTGTCTCTGGCGAGTGACACTGGTGGTGTGGCACGCTATATCCACAACCACAACCTTGTAAGTTAAATGGTCGGTTTTACTGCTTCCTGTTACTCTCCCAACCTCTCTGTTTTGAGGTATGTCAACAAAATGAGTAGGCAATCCAGGAACCACTAAGAATAAGCTAACTGGCAAGGGTGCTTGTCGTATTGGTGTGCATGTGTGTGTGTTTGTGTGTGTGTGTGTGTGTGTGTGTGTGTGTGTGTGTGTGTGTGTGTGTGTGTGTGTGTGTGCATGTGTGCATGCGTGCATGCATGCATTCATGGTTGCATGTGTGGATGTATGCATGCATGCATTTATGAGTGCACGGGTGCATGGGTGCATGCACGCATGCATGCATTCACGGGTGCATGTGTGCATGTATGCATGCATTCACGGGTGCATGTGTGGATGTATGCATGCATTCACGGCTGCATGTGTGCATGTATGCATGCATGCATGCATGCATTCACGGGTGCATGTGTGCATGGGTACACGTGTGTGTTGCATGCATGTGGTGCACAGCTGGAGGTACTGCTCAAGGCGGTGATACAGTACGAGGTGGACTCGGGGGACTCCCACCATGTGCTGCTGCTCGTCAACGCCCTCATTGAATGCCTGCGCCTCGCCTTCCGCCCAGGCATGTCCCATGATCCCATCCCACGCAACATCTCTGCTAATACGCCTACAACCGTCCCTTGCTGCAATTCTCACCACAACATTGCTTTTCTTCTCACACTTCCACCTCCATTGTACCACTCTGTTTCTCGCCACCCACGCTCACACTCACACTCTCTCTCATTCCTCCCCCCCACCCTTCCCTTACCCCGCTCTCCGCATTCAGACGCGGGTCCTGTGAAGCTGAAGGAGGACTTTCGCTCTCTGCGGGGCTACTTCTGGCTGGGCCAGCTCGTGCTCAAGCTCACCTTCGCCGCTGACACACCTGCTGACCCCACCCCAGTCGCACAGCTCCACAACTCGCCCTCCCCTCTCCTGCAGCAGCCGCCTCTCTCCCCCGCCCCCTCCCCGCTAGCCCCTCTCCCTGGCTCGGGCACAGACCCTGATGAAGCTGCAAGGGAAGACAAGAGGGAAGAGACAGAGAAAGGGGAAACGGCCGAGGGGGAGGGGGAGGATGGTGGGGAGGGAGAGAGTGAGAAACGAGGAGGGTCGAGCCCAGAGGAGGCAGTAAAGCCTGCAGAGCCAGCAGTACCGTCGTCTCTAGTAAAGCTACTCGATGCTCTTGTGGCCATGGCACAGACTGTCGGCGGCGACCCTCCTCGGCTGCACACCACCGGCACCCGCCCGTTCTTCCGGTCTCCATCCGGGCGGCAGAAGGACCTGTCCTGCCTGCCAGGCGCACAGGTGAAGTCGCTGGAGTCCCTGCGAGTGAGGGATCCCGACGCAGTGCTCGTGCTGCAGAACGTCTTCCTGGAGACGAACCAGCTGCCCGTGCAGCTGCTGGTGCTGGAGCGCCTGCAGAACCTCTACGCGTTCTTCCCAGAGAACTACTCGGTGATTCAGGAGCTCAAGACGTTCCAGATGCTGATTCGCAACATAGGCCAGTACCCGCGCATGCTGCAGGAGCAGCTGCTGAAAGTCCTGGAATACACAGTGATAGTGCTCAACATAGTCCCAGAGCAGGAGCTTCTAGCGCTCTGCATCGAGCTACAGAAGCCCGTGCCGACGTCCCTCTCCCGCTCTGCACTTATATTCTTCAACAAGCTGCTGTCGTTTGAGCAGAACTTTGTGGAGGTGCTGCGGGACGTGGGGCTCGTGGATATCCTTGTCACGGACCTTAGGAAGTGCTCGCCTCCAGAGTCCACGCCTGTGCTTGCTGATGGCTCCGTCCCCTCGGTCTTCTTCACGCCACAGTCCTCAGCTGCTGCGTCACTCGCTGCTGCTGCTGGTGGTGGTGGTGGTGGTACACAGGGTGGTGCTGGAGGGGCCGACTCTCCCTCCTCCTCTGCCTCCTCCCGTTCCTTCCCCCAGTCACCCTCGTCAACCTCCTCCTCCTCCTCTTCTCACCTCTCTCTCCCTGCCTCTGCTGAGTCTGGTGACTATCCGCACTCCCATCCCCACCCGCACAACCAGCCGCCCATGTCTCGTGTCATGAAGAGCCGCATGGATGCCATGCGCGCGTCCTTGGGCCGGCGTCTCTCGTCCGATTCAATCGGCGGCATGGGCCCGGGCGGTGGCATGGGTGCAGCGCAGTCGTACTTCTTTGATGAGGAAACTACATGTCAGGCAGCGTGGGAGTGTGTGCTGGCGCTCATGACTCACAGCCCTGCCAACCAGAAGGTCCTGAGGCAGAAGCGTGGGCTGCAGACGGTGCTGCCGCTGCTCGCGTCCTCCCGCCATCGCCCCTTTGCCCTGCGCCTCCTTACTATCCTCATCTCCGAGGATCTGGCTCAGGTGATGCGCCCTCTCCTGTGCTAGCCCGAGGTTTTGGCCCATCCAAGAAGCTTTGAACGTTTTACTTCTCTCGCCTTCCGTTTTTCTCGTCTCCTCACTCGTTCAACCTTCACTCATTGCTGTGCACTCAATCCGGACTCCCCTACCCTTTCCCAACTCGCAATTCTCCATTTTCCCTTACTCTTCCTTGCAGACCAATCCGGACGAGGTGGCTGGGCTGGTGCAGGTGGCGCGGAGGGGAGTGGCAGGGTCGCCGGGCGGCAGGATGTGGCGGCTGGACATAGCAGCGCGCACAGAGGTGCTCTGGACGCTCTCGCACGTGCTCTCCGCCAACCCTGCAGTGCAGGAGACGTTCCTCAAAGTCGATGGCTTCTCACTCGGCCTTGCTGTCATTGCCAGCATCAAGGGCTCCAGCTCTCTCGACCAAAGCTCCTCTAAGCCTGCCGCTGCTGCTGCTGCTCCTGCTGCTGGGAAGCCGCCGGTAAAGGGATCTACGGGGGTTGCTGCTGCTGCTGGGGCAGGTGCGGCTGGTGCTGCGTCGGCTGCAGCAGCAGGGTCGGCGTTATCCCTGGGGGGCGTGGGTAAGGGGTCGCCAGTGACAGGGCGGTACCAGATGATGATGTCCAAGGCAGCCCAGCTCGCAGACCTAGGCGAAACGCCCCTCGCCCTCAAATTCGAGTTTGTCGACGCGCTTCTGAGCGTGCTGCTGAGAGCAGTCAGGGCCAACCCCGCAGGCCGCCTGGCCCTGCGGCGTGTGATCAAACCAGAGGAGTTTTCCCGGCAGCTGCCCCACACGGGGCTCCTCGCCCCGCCGTACGACGTGCGGCTGATTCGCTCCCTGCTGGATCTCGCCACAGAGACCCTTCGCAGCACCAGCCTGCCTCAAGTTCTCGTACCCTCCTCGCCGTCGCCCACGCCTGTTAAGGGCTCCCATGCTGCTCCGCACTCGGGGCATGACGACAGGGGGTTGGAGAGTGAAGCGGGCGGGTCAGCAGGGAGGCTGTCAGGGAAGGGGTCCGGGAGGAGGGAGAGCATGGGGGGAGGCGCGAGCGGGAGTGCAGGAGGGGGTGGGAGCCCGTGGGGGCCGTGTGAGTGGGTGGTGGATGAGGTGGGGGTAGTGCGGGACAGGGAGGGCGTGACGGTGCACAATGCAGTGGTGGTGCAGATGCTACTGGACTCGCTTCACCTGCTCGCCACCCCCACAGTGGAGCGACTGCTGGCTGCTGTGCTTGTGCTCGCCAAGCTCTCGCCCCGCAATGCAGAGGCGCTCAGTAGCATTCGTGAGTCTGGCGATGGTGGTGGCTGGTGTGATGAGTCGGGACAGTGTGGGCACGGACTGTATGCTGTATGCTATGACGGTGATAGGATGGATGGATGCAGAGGAACGAGCTTTTAAAGGGGAACCCGTCTTTTGTTTCTGTGTTGCTGGTCTCGACGCTGTGTTGCCTTTTCTGTTGACGTTTTGTTTGCGGTGTTTGTGCTCTTGTGCGTTGTGCTGTGTGTGTCTGCATGTTGCAGACGTGGTGCAAGTGCTGCTGGAGCTCTTCATTCACAAGTCGCACACCCTTGCAGAAGGAACCATCGACACCATTCTGCAGACGGTTGAAATCGTTGGGACCTTCAGGTGCGCCTCTGGTTCTTTCCTGCAGCCAGCACCATCTTTCGTCTCCATTCCATCATTTCTCCTCTCGTCACCCGAAACCCTACATGTGTTCCCCTCTTTTCCCTCCTCCACCCCCTTCAGAATCTCACCCACGGAGCTGCGGCTGATGGCATTGCGGCTAAGGCAGCCAGCGGACGCCCCTCATGACCCCATGGGGCTGCGCTTCCTGCGCATGCTCTGCCGCATGGCCGCCGCCTCCTCCGGCTCTGCTCAGAGCGTAGCCGTCTCCTCCTTTGCCGACCTCAGCATGCGCCGCGTGGGGTACGCGGGCGCTCACGCCATTATAGGCGAGCGCCCCTGGCCCCCGGCTGGAGGGTTCTCCTTGGCGTGCTGGCTCCGGTTCACTGGGCTGCGCGGCGATGGAGATGATGGGGAGAGCGCCGAGGAGAGTGAGGTGCGGGCGAGGCTGAGCTTTGGGTCGCAGCGGGGTGGGAGTGATAACGGCAGGCTGGGCAGGGCCAGGCGGTTGCAGGTGTTTACTGTGGCGCCGGCAGGAGAGCCGCATGAGTGTTGCGCAGACCTGTTTATTGATGAGGACGGGATACTCACTCTGGCTGCTAACACCAACTCGGGTACTGGTGGCAGTGGGAATGCGGGCGGGTCGGTCACTGCAAGTGCGTCTGGTGGCAGCAGTAGCGGCGGCGGCAGCAGTGGCACGAGCAGCAGCAAAGTGCGGTTCTCAAACGTGCAGCTGAAGGAGGGATCGTGGCACTTCATAACTGTGGTGTTCCGGCAGCCGTCCGCCCTCTCTGGGTTCTTCCATGTGGACTCCGCGTCGCTCTACATCGACGGGCTGCTGCAGCAGACGGGCAAGCTCTCCTTCGCCCCGTCGCCCCAAGGCAAGCTGCTGAGAGTCACACTGGGAACAGGCAGCGAGGCGGCCTGTGTTAGTCCCCTCACGTGGCAGCTGGGCCCTACCGTGCTGTTTGAGGAAGCCGTTTCGTCCTCTGCGGTGCTCTTCATGTACCTGCTTGGCCGAGGGTACCGCGGGGTGTTCCAGGACCCGGCCATCCGCCAGTTCCTGCCTTTGGAGGCCAGCAGCGCTCGCAATCTGCTGCTAGTCGAGCGCATCGAAGCAGAGGCGGCCGCACAGGGAGGAACCCCGACGGGGCTGTGGGTGAAAGGGGACGACTCGTCGATCTTCCATGACATGGCTGCTGCGGCTGCGAGGGCAGGCGAGGGCGAGCTGTGCCCAGTGGTGTGGGATGCAGAGAAGCCTACAGCGGCGGCGGCGGCGGTGGCGAGCAGGAAGATTATATTCAAGTTTGATGGGTCCACGGTGGAGCTGGAGGAGAATGGGGAGCTGTGCCCCGCGTCTCTGGCGCGTACCATGGTGAACCTCGTGGACCTCAGCCATGGCTCTGCCTCGTCCCTTGGAGGTCAGCTGTGTGTTGGGTGTGCGGTGCGCTGTGTGCTGTGTGCGGTGCGCTGTGTGCTGTGTGCTGTGTGCTGTGCGCTGTGTGCTGTGTGCGGTGCGCTGTGTGCTGTGTGCGGTGCGCTGTGTGCTGTGTGCTGTGCGCTGTGTGCTGTGCGCTGTGTGTGTGGCATGGGTGCACGACTGAAGGCATGCGTACACTTGCGTGCTGTGGCACCTACCTGCATATCCAGCCCTCATCTATACCACATCGTTTCAGAGAACCTTCCGAGCACTCCACCCACTCACACCTCCCCTCCTGCCTTCTCCTCCCCATGACGTGCCCCTCCCTCTCTCCCCACACACACCAGGTCCCAAGATGGCCGCTCTATTCGGCGACATCCAGCTGTGCTGCCCTAGCAGCGTAGCCGACGGCCTACGAGTCATAGGTGGCATGTCAGTGCTGCTCGCACTGCTTGACATGGCAGATACATCCGAGCGCCTGCACCTCGCTCTCTCCCTGCTCACGTCGTGCCTGCGTGAGAACCCCCGCAACCAGGAGGAGATGCGGCGCCTGCGCGGGCACCACATGCTCGCCATCTTCCTGCACCAGCGCATGCCCCTCGTCACCCCCGCGTCTTTCGCCCTCCTGCTCTCCCTCGCCGCGCCCGCCACCCACAAGCCCTCGTCTCTCCTTCTCGCAGCAGACCCCTCTGCTGCTGCCATAAGCGTCTCGAGCGCGAGTCACGAGGCGGAAGAGGCATCAGAGGTGGTGTTATGCAGCCCAGGGCTAGTGGTCCACGTGCTGCTGGACTGGACCATCTGGTCTATCGCCCCCTTGCAGCTGCAGCACGACCTCCTCGACTTCCTCCATCTCGTCGTCACCCGCAGTCGCTTCCGCCGCCACAACGTTGCGTTTCTGCGGCGCCTGGACGTGGTGCCTCGGCTGCTGCTGGCGCTGCAGCACACTGAGCTGGACCCGGAGGTGATAAGGAAGCTTGTGGGGGTGCTGGGGGGCGTGCTGGGAGCGGGGTTCCTGCCTGCAGAGACCAAACAGGTGTCGGATTTTGTGCTGATGACGTTCAGGGGAGGAGCGGCAGCAGGGGCGGGAGGGATGGCAGCAGCGGGAGGAGCAGGAGGAGGAGGAGGGGCGGTGGTGGTAGCAGGCGGGGCAGGGGAGGTGTCGTTAAGGAGGAGCAGCAGCAGCAGCGGCAACGCAGGATCCGGGGCACCACCAGTCACCTGCAACACTGGCTCCGTGGCAGCGAGAGAACCCTATGGGCAGCACGTAACCACGCGGAACGCGCTCCTAGAGATGCTCATTCACCTGCAGCTGCGTCTGGGCCTCACTCCCTCGGACGAACGCCTGGACCTGTGGCAGAGAGCAGTTGCCACCAAGATCACCACCCTGCTGCTGGACCCGCACCTGCACGAGTCCTCTCTCAAGCGCGTGCTTATCCTGCTCGCGGATTCCCTCCGCTCGCCCACGCAGTTCGCCACGCGGTTCCGCCAGGCAGGCGGGTTCTACTCGCTCTCGCGCGTGCTCGCGTCGTACCACGGCGAGCCAGACATGTTCCTAGTGCTCTTCACTGCTCTCTTTGGCGCGGACCCCAAGCCCGCCCTCACTGAAAGGGAGGACGTGCGTCTGTTGGACCTACACGCCCTGCTGCCGCTCAAGGCCAGCCCAGGGGAGGACCTCTTGTTCCCTGAGCTCTTGGATTCTGTTCTCGCCATGCTGCGCTCTGCCTTGCTCTCTGCTGTCCCCGCTGAGAGGAAACCCCCTGTGGGGGCAAGTCCGATCGGGTATACTGGGGAGGGTGGAGCGGAGGGGGAGGGAGGCAGGGATGCGGCGAGTCAGAGTGGGGACTGGAGTGGAGGGGGGCGGCAGGCGCTGGTACAGCCGTTGAGAAGAGGGGCGGAGGGGGCAGCGGCGCTGGTGGTGGGGGTGCTGCGGTTCTGGCTGCATGGGGTGCATTGCCCGGGGCCCACTGCGCTGGCTGCTGCTACTCGCCGTCCCGAGTGCCTGGAGGGCCTGTTGGATCTCTTCTTCGTGTGCCTGCGGTACGTGCTGCTGCCCCCGTCCCTCATACGTTCCCTCCACGTTCTCTCGCGTTTGCTAGACTGAGACGGGTATTTTGTCAGGTCCTCCATCGTCACCAGTCCTTTCCCCCTCCTTTCCCAACACCCCCTCCCCCACCTCCCCCCCCTCATCCACCTCCCCCCCCTCATCCACCTCCCCCCCCTCATCCACCTCCCCTCCCCTTCATCCCCCTCCCCCCATGCCATGTCCGCAGGCACTGCGCGGAGGCAGCTCGCAAGGCCACTGCGCAGGCCCCCTCCCCGCGCCCCCCATCCCGTGCTCCTCCCCGCAAGGCCTCCCGCACCGCCTCCCTTGAAGCCATCGCTTCAGGTGGGGACAACGAGGGGGACGGGGAGGAGGACCAAGAGAGCGTTGAGTGGAAGGAGGGACAGGGGGAGGAGGATGATGATGATGATGATGAGAGAGACGAGGTGGGGAATCGGGCCGTGTATGGGGTTGACGCGGATAGGAAGGGCGCCCGGGTGCGTCTGTCTGGATCAGCAGATGCTGCTGTGGGAACTGCAAGCCGGCCTGCCATCTCTGCGTCTGGCAGTGCGGGCTCTGTGCTAGGTTACACAGGGGGGCAAATGGGACAGCCAGGGCTGGCAGGGCAGGCAGGGCCGTTGGGAGCTCAGTCGGGATCACCTTCGTACAACTCCCCACTCGCGCGCCACCTCAGCGTCACCGCTGCCTCCATGATGACGTGGCTGGGCGGCGCGAGGGAATCATCGGACGAGATTGCATCCAGTGGGTTTTCCTCGCTGGGGAAGACGGGCAGTGGCAAGCTGGACGGGGAGATGATGGGGGGGGGAGGGGACGAGCACGCGGATGGGCTCACAGCACTCGTCCCAGAGGCTCTCTTTCTCGTAGACGCGGAGAGCATGAAAGGGAACGTGGCGGCGGTAGCGGCAGGGATAGTGCTGGATATTATCGGGGAGGTGGTGGCAGGTGCGCTTCTGGAGGTCCCTAAGAGTGCGCCGCTGCTAGATGCAGTGCAGGACGCAGTGCCAGGGGATATCCCTGCTGACGTTGCAGCGGTTTTCACAGGGCAGTGGCTGCAGCGGGTGCTGCTGGTTCTCGAGCGGTGTCTGCTTGCAAGCAGCGTAGAGGCCAGCAAGCTGGACCGTGCGCGCTGGGGGCCCAATCTAGAGGCGCTGGCGCCTGTGCTGGCTGATGCTGCCTTCTGCGGGTCGTTTGCCCGGCCTAAGTCGTGCAAGCAGGTGCTGCAGTTCATGCTGCAGCTGCTCCAAGCCGCCAACACCAACGGGCTGATTGAAAACGCCCAGCCGGCCACCAGAGGGCTGCTCATCCGCACTCGCGGCACGTTCCTAGAGCCGTACATTCTCGCGCTGCTTAAAGCCTGTGGGCGGCTGGTGCTGTACTCGTTCCTGCCTTCAGACATGGTGGGGGTGAGAGCTGTGACAAGCGGGGAGGACGGGGACGAACTGACAGGGTCGGTGCGAACGAGTGGCACGTATGCTGCGGAACCGTGGGTGGGGGAGAGGCGCATGGTCCCTGCTCTCGATCCCAGCCTGGACCGATCAGACTCGCTGCACCTGCTGCTTGCAAACCATGGCATTATCCTGTCTAGCGTGAGTGTGGATCTAGAGCTGGTCGCATGCCTGTGCCATAACCTTACTTATATGATTCTCCAGCTCCCGTCCTCCCAGTCGCTGCCGCAGCAGCAGCAGGGCGGGGGAGCGGGGCACGAGCGGGAGTCGCTGATTCAGCAGCAGCAGCAGCACGTGGCGTTAGCAGCAGAGGCGTGGAAAGTGCTGGTGGCACACCGGGCTAAAGAGCTAGAGGATTTACTCACCTTCCGCACGCCGAGAGGCGATATGGTGGATCTGTTCCATGGGGGGTTTGACACGGTGCTGCAGAACGGAGAGGCGTCTCTGGTGCACTGGCTGGTGGGGTCCCAGGCGCTGGTGGTCGAGGTGCTCGGGCAGAAGGCTACCCCTGCTTGGCGCGACGCTGTGCTTGCTGCTGCTCGTGCCGCTGACGGCAGAGTGAAGGTGCTGGAGGTGAGGCGGCGGAAGGAGGCGCAGCGGCGGGCGAGGGACAGCCTGAGGTCCATGGCGAGGTATGAGGAGCAGCAGGGAGGGAATGTGGGGACGGCTGAGAAGGTGCGGTTTGGGATTGCCAAGGAGCTGCTGGTGAGGCGGCAGGATAAGTTTGGATGGGTGCTGCAGGCTGAGAGGGAGTGGCAGGGGCATCTGCAGCAGCTGGTGCATGAGAGAGGGATCTGGCCGGCTTGGCCTGGGGGGCTGGATACGAAGCAGAGGTCTAAGTGGGGCGAGGAAGGTGGGGAGAAGGAGGGCGAAGGCGGGGAGGAGGCAGAGGGAGAGGAGGAGGGAGCGGGGACGTTGCAATGGCAGCTGTGCTCGACTGAGGGGCCGTTCCGTATGAGGAAGAAGATGAGAAGGAGTAAGGTGCAGGTGGACTTGCGCCAGAAGCAGTGCGTGACTTGTATTGAGCCGGAACCGATTCCCATTGTGGAAGGGGCAGAGGAGGAGGCACGGGAAGCGGAGAGACGCAGCAGGGAGAGCAGCAAGGCTGAGAGCAGCAAGCCGGCAGCAGAGGGTGGTGCTGGGGATGCGGAGGGGAAAGGCGGGGAGAAGAACGGGGAAGGAGCGGCGAAGGGAAAGGAGGAAGCTGCGGGGGCTGGGAAAGGCAAGGAGGAGGGAGGCAAGGAGTCGTACCTGCAGCTGTCAGTGAGTGACGGTACCCCGCCTCGCATATACCGAGCCCACTCCACCATGGTTGACTTGGATGATGAGGGTGGTAGCCTGGCGGACCTGGTTGCTTCGCATATGGAGGCATTGGCAGAGGAGGAGGCGGAGGAGCAGGGCAATGACGCTGCGGAGGAACCAGCTGGGAAGGATGAGGGAAAGGGGGGTGCAGCAGCAGGTGGTGCGACTGATGGTTCCAAGTCCGATGCAGCGAAATCCGGGAGGCTGAGCGCAAGTGCTAGTTCTGGTGCTGGTGCTGGTGCAAGCGGGGCGGCTGCAGGGCGGGGGATAGAGGCGAGCAGCAGCGGCGGCAGCAGCAGCACGGACCCTGCAACGCGCAGCAGCAGCAAGCGCATGGGGTACGACCTGGGTGCTGACTGCCTGCGAGGCGGAGCAGGGGGAGGCGCAGAGAGCGACGACGGGGAGTACCTAATCCGCCCGCACTTGGAACCTGGGGAGCGAATCCGGTTCCGGTATAACTGCGACCGCGTGGTGGGGCTGGATAAGCGTGATGGGATCTTTCTGATAGGCGAGCAGTGCCTGTATGTTATTGACAACTACTTCATAGACAGCACTGGGAGGTTTCGGGAGAAGGAGGCTGAGGGGACGGTGTCTGTACTGGATCAGGCGCTGGGGATGAAGCCGGGGAAGCCGTCAGGGTTCACAGCAGCAGCGTGCGGGGCGAATCCGATGAAACGGCACGGAGTGGGGCTGGTTGGTGGGTGGGCGGAGACGGTCGCAGCGTGGCGAGCGACGGGAGGCGGCGGGGGGGAGAACTCGGGGGAGTTGGCAGGAGGGGAAGGCGGGGAGGAGGATGAGGAGGCGGCAGCGGAGGAGGCGGTGCTGTCGCACGAGTGCAAGAAGTGGAAGCATGAGGAGGTGCATGAGGTGCTGAAGCGGCGGTACCAGCTGCGGCCCGTGGCCATAGAGCTGTTCTCCATGTCGGGCAACAACGAGTTGCTCGTGTTCCACCTCAATGAGCGCGACGAGTGCTTCAAGAACCTGCAGGCCATGAACCTCCCCAGGAACAGCCTGTGAGTTGGGGGTAGTGTTGGTTGGCAGTCATCTGGTGAGGACTTCCTTCCATTTGTTGCCAGTCGATCTGCAGTGCAGACCCACTTCTCAATGCCTTTTCTATCGATTCACCGCCTCTCACCCTCCTCTTTCTTCCCCTTCTCCCCACCCCTCCCTTTCCCCCCTTTCCCCACCCTACTTGGCAGGTTGGACTCTACAATATCAAACGCCACTGAGGCAGCAGCAGCACCCCACCGGCTGTTTCGGAGACAACTCAAGGGCACCCCTTCTTCCGCACCCTTCCCCACACCCCTCACTTCCCCACCCCGCCCACCAGGCTGGACTCCACAATATCCAACGCCACAGAGGCAGCGGAGCCGCACCGGCTGTTCAAGATGATGGCAAAATCCCTGGGCAAGCGGTGGCAGGCGGGCGAGATCAGCAACTTCCACTACCTCATGCACCTCAACACGCTGGCGGGCCGCGGGTACAACGACCTCACACAGTACCCCGTCTTCCCCTGGGTGCTCGCGGATTATCTGAGTCAGGAGCTCGACTTGAGCGATCCCACCTCGTTCCGCCCGTTGAATAAGCCCATGGGGTGCATCACTCCGGAGCGGGAGAAGGAGTTTGTGCGCAGGTGCGTGGGCGGGCGGAGGGAGGGGGGAACGGGGGGCGGGGGGGGGGCTGCTTGCTTGCCTGGAGGGAATCGGGGTTTGACTTTGACGGTTGTTGTGCACATGTGGGTGGGTGAACGCGGTCTGTCACTTGAGTGTGGTAGTGTGTCCGCTCTCGTGACAGTCATCTGCCATTCTCGTGACAGTCGTCAGCCAGTCACCAGACACACATCGTGGCCCGTATTGCGTGCTCCCAAACCCCTTTCCCCTCCACACCCCTCCCACCTTCCCCCTCCCCATCCCCGCCTCCCTCCCCTTCCCCATCCACCCACCCACCCACCCCCAACCCTCCCCCACCATCCCCCCACCGCCCATGGGACGACAAATATCCCGCACTTCCACTAACAGGTGCTCCCAAACCCTTTCTCCCCACCTCCAACCCCCTCCCCCCGCCCACCCCCCAACCCCTCCCCTCCCCGCCCTCCTCCTCCCCCACCCCTTCCCAACCATCCCCCGCCACACACACCAGGTACAACACGTGGGACGACCCAGACATCCCGCGGTTGCACTACGGCTCGCACTACTCGAGTGCGGGCACGGTGCTCTACTATCTCATGCGCCTGCCGGCCTTACCTCGTGGCCCGTATTGCGTGCTCCCAAACCCCTTCCCCCCCACCGCCCCCCTCCTCCCTCCCCCTTCCCCCCCACCAACCCCGCCCCCCCTCCCCCCCTTCCCCCTCTCCCCCCACCCCCTCGTCCACCTTGCACACACCAGGTACAACACGTGGGACGATCCGGACATCCCGCGCTTCCACTACGGGTCGCACTACTCGAGTGCGGGCACGGTGCTCTACTATCTCATGCGCCTGCCGCCGTTCTCGCGGCAGAACATGCAGCTGCAGGGCGGGCACTTTGACCACGCGGACCGCATGTTCTACTCCATCCAGGAGACGTGGAAGAGCGCCAGCACGGGGCATACAGCTGATGTGAAGGAGCTCACGCCCGAGTTTTATTATGTGCCCACGTTTTTGGAGAACCGGTTTAATTTGGACCTGGGGGTCAAGCAGAGCGGGGAAGGGGTGAGTATGTGGGGGTGGGGGTGGGGGTGGGGGGGTGTGTGATTGTGGGTGTGGGGATGTATGTGGGTGGGGTGGGGAAGGAGTGGGTTGGAGCAATGATTTGTTAATACGCCCTTGCTCTCGCATGTGCACTTCCCTTCCCAGCTCCCTCCCGACCTCCCGCCCCCCCTCCCTTTCCCCCTCCCTCAGCTTCACCACCCACCTGTGTTCGCCCCTCTCCCCCAAACCCCATGCCATCACATGCACAACCTGATCACTCTTGACACGTCTCAGATATCACCTGTGCTCACTCACCCCTCTGCCCCTTCCCCACTACCCCTGTGCCGCCAGGTAAACAACACAATCCTGCCTTTTGAGGCGGCCCCAAAAGACGTCTCAGAAATCACCTGTACTTTCCTTTCCCTCTCTCCCGGCCCCCTTCCCTCCCGTCAACCCCATGGCACCAGGTGGACAATGTGATACTCCCCCCGTGGGCCAACGGCAGTCCCGAGGAGTTTATTCGCAAGCACAGGGAGGCGCTGGAGTCACCGTATGTGTCGGAGCATCTCAACGAGTGGATCGACCTCATCTTCGGCCACAAGCAGCAAGGCCCCGTCCGTGCCTCCCCTCCACCCCGCCCCCTCATGTCGCCTCTCTCCGCGCCTCTCCTCGCCTTTCCTTTCCTCCCCACCACTGGCCTATTGCTACCACCCCTTTTACCAATGTGCACTTTGGGCCATGCGCGCTGCTTACACACAACCTGCGCTCATGATCTTTTCACAGAATGGTGCTTTTGCTTGTCGCTTTCAACACACATCCAAACCCAACCCCCTTCCCCCAACCCCCATGTCCCATCCCCCATCCACTGTTTCCCATGCACCATCCCCCAAACCCTGTCTTCCATCCCCATCCACTATTCCGTATCCCCCAACCCCCATCTCCCGTCCCCCATCTCCAATCCCCCACTTCCCATCCCCCATCCCCATCCCTCGATCCCCCCTTCCCTCCCCCCCCCATGTCAACAGGCGTCAGTGGAGGCAGTGAACGTGTTCTTCTACCTCACATACGAGGGCTCAGTGAACATAGACGCCATCACCGACCCCTCCACCAAGGCCTCCATCCTCGCGCAGATCAACAATTTCGGCCAGACGCCCCGCCAGCTCTTCCTCAAGCCGCACCCCAAGAGGGAAACCCACCAGCGGCCCCCGCTCGTCAACTGCCTTCGCTACCACGATCTTGTTCAGATGGAGGAGTCAAGGAATGTGCGCCAGATGGTGACTCAGATCCTCATGGTGAAGGATAAGGTCGGGGTGCTTGTGGGGAACTCTCTGATCAAGGGCACGTCGAATGATCGGCGGTTGCTCTGGGGGTTCCCCGATGGGAGCCTGAGAGTGGTTTCTACTGATCAGGATAAGCTGCTCGCCACGCACGAGGCGTTGCACGACAACGGGCCGATTCAGTGCGCTGCTGTCAGCCGCGACGGGACTTTCATCGCAACAGGAGGGTCCGATGGAGTGGTGGCGATCTGGAGGTCTCTGGGGGATGGGCCTCCTGGCCGAGGTGCTCCGTCTCAGTCCCAGAGTCAACCCGGGCAGGCGCAGCAGCAGCAGGCGCAGGCGCAGCGGCAGCTGCAGCTGCTGCGGCGTTTGTGTGCGCACACCCAGGCTGTGACGTCCCTGGCTATGAGCCAAGCGTGGGGGCTTGTAGTGACAGGGTCGAGCGACCACACGGTTATCCTCTGGGATCTCAACTCATTGGATTTCGTCCGTCAGCTCCCGGTGATGCCTGCGCCGGTGTCTGTGGTGTATGTGAGCGACAGCACAGGGGACGTTGTGGTGGGCGCGGGGACACTGCTGAGTGTGTGGACGGTGAATGGGGACTGCCTGGCCAAGGTGAACACCTCACATTCCATGCTGGAGGCTATCACGTGTGTTACCACGCCGTCGCACTCGGATTGGATGGACACGGGGTGGTTCCTGACGGGGCACAGAAACGGGAGCATCAAGATGTGGTGCATGGACTGGTGCGTGCCGGCGAACGTGTCTGTGAAGAGAGCAGAGCATGAGACTGTCAGTGGTAGCAGCAGCAGCGGTGGTGGCGGCGGCAGCTTTAGGGAGGCAGGAAGTGGAACGAGTGGGGTGAGCGTTCAGCAGACGAATACGGAAGGCAAGGAGCAGCAAGAGCAGGGAGACAAGGACGAGGGCGGCAGACAGGCAAACGGAGATGCAGCAGCAGGAACCACCCAGCAGCAGCAGAATCAGAATCAGTTGGCAGTCGTCGTGCCGGGCCGTGAGCAGCAGGCGGGCAGTGGCAAGCACAGACGGAAGGTGCTGGTGCCAGGCACGTTCACCTCGCGCATGGACCCAGAGTGGAAGCTTGTGCTGTGCCGCGAGCTAGTGTGGCACAAGGAGGCCGTCACAGCGCTCTTCCTCACCCCGGAGCTGCGGCAGCTGTTCTCGGGGGACATTGCGGGCCACATTGCATGCTGGGCGATTCCGGACGGTGATGCTGAGAACATTGTGATGCATGATGCGCAGGTGAGTGCTCCTCCTTAGCTCTACTCCCTCGATTTCTTGCCCCGTCTTGCACATTGCTTCCTGCTGTCCCTCCCTACCTGCATCCTTCCCTCACCTTCCTCCCAGCCTCCTTCCCTCTCCATCCGTTTCCGGCCCTTGTTTAACACGCCAACTCCCTGCATCCTCGGCCCCTGGTCCTCTACCCTCTCCCCATCGTCCTCTACCCGCACCCCCCTCAGGTGTCAGTCTGTGCAGGGGCATGCAGGAGGCGCTTCACAGTGGGAGAGCGGCGCTTTGAGTGTGTGACGTGCAAGAAGGTGGTGTGTGGGCAGTGCGGAGGCAGCAAAATGGTGGTGGACCGATCAGGCCACTATGCACAGCGCTGGGTCTGCTCCTCCTGCCAACACCAATCCGATGCCGCTGCCGCTGCTGCCGCTGCCGCCGCCGCTGCTGCTGTCGCTGCCGCGGCAGAGGCAGGGGCAGCGGGGGCGGCGGCAGGGGGAGGAGGTGGAGCAGGAGGAGGGATGGGGGTGCGGTCTAGTATGGTCCGTGGCATGTCGGTTGCAGCGCCTCAGAGCACGGGCGGCATGGGCGGGGCAGGGGGAGGGGGGCTTGCAGGAGCGGGGGAGGGAGGAGGGCAGGCGCATGGGGGGGAGAGGGTCGGGCCTGGGGCAGGGCCGGGGCAGAGGGCGTTTGTGGCGATGCCACGCATTTCGAAGCAGACGGGGGGGCTGCCGCAAGGGGGGATGAGACGAGGAGGGAGCACTAGCATGCCCCGATCCACCACCTCTTCTTAGGCTCCCTGCTGGGCTGCTGTGCCGCTGTGCTGTTGCGCTTCTGTGCCTTCCCTCCAGGCCCGTCTGCCCTGCAGCCACTGCACTGCAGTTTGCTGCCTGACAGGGTGTGCTGGATATATTGCCCCAGTGCCGTAACTGGGGTTTTTGTTTGACTGAAGGATGATCAATATCTTCTGCCTAGTACATTGACAGGGGTAGCTTATACCATACCATCTGGGTTACGGTACGACGAAAAGTGAGAAGGCGCATGCGGGTACTTGAGAGGCATTTGTATCGAGGGAGGGGTCCGTCTGTAAGAGGCATGTGAGCCGCACAGCATTTTCCAAGTCATGACTTCTGACTGGTATCAGGTCACCCATGATATTTATTATATACCTGGCATTACCTGGCGTTAATGTTTGTTTTGGACCGTACCGTAGTAACTTCATGGTGTGAAGACTTGATTTATTAATGAATGAAAGTATATGTGTGACATGGCGTGAAACAGCAGGCCTTGAGCCCTGTTGTGAAGTGCATGAAGCAGCAGGTCTTGCTACTTGAAGTCATGTATTGAGGCTATACTTGTATTTGCACTTGGTGCACTCGTAGAAAACTGTCTGCCCTTCATCCGCTGACCGCAACTGACACGCACGAGAGGAAAGGGCGAGTGCGAGGAAGCGGGAATCGGAGTTGATATTACAGCACATGGAAACACCTTGACAGGATGATGAGAATGGGCAAGGTCAAGGACTGATGCGGATGTGTGAGATGTGTGAGGAGTGTGAGGAGTGTGAGGAGTGTGAGGAGTCTGGGTGAGGGAGGCAGGGGCGCGGCAAGGAGCATACCTGCATGGTATAGTACTCCATCTCCTTGTTGCCACACTTGGGACATATCTCGTTCACCTGAAGTCACACAGTAAACAGATGGCACAGGGGGCACATTGAGCACACCGGGTGAGTGGGCACGCTAAAGGAGGATAAAAATGGTGCCGAGAAGGGATGGGCACCAGCGCAAGCATTAAAGCATTACTGCGCATTGGAACAACGCCAACTGTCGACGGGTTGGAAGGTTCATTCTGTTGGAAGTGTGCGTGGGAGGAGAGGCGGGAGAAGCAGAGCAGGTGAGGCATTGACAGGCATTGACCGGGCAGCGTACACAGCCCCGCCGGCATGTGTGGCACGCCCCCCCCCCTGTCTGACTAGTCAGTACATGATAATTCTCAAAAACCATCGAGCTCGCGGCCAGCATGTCTAGCTTGCACCCCTCCCTCCCTGCCTCAGCTTGCACCCGTCCCTCCCCCCCCGCACCTTGGCGCGCTCCTTGATGCTCTCCTTGCGGGTCCCGCCCCCCATGTCCGAGTCCAGTGGCACGATGGGGTCCACGCCATACCGCCGCATCAAGTCCTGCGCGCCCGCACACGCCCACGCGCCACACGCGCCACACGCGCCCATTCCGAACATACGCATGCGAAGTTTGCAGGGAAATGCGCCGTCCGCGCAGAGGGGAGGGTGTGAAGGGGAATGAGGGCGCGGGGGAAGGTGGGATTGATATGGGGGAAAGCAGAGGCGGGATGTGGTTTCAGGATAAGCAACCTGGACTGCGGGAGAAGCACGCAAGGGCCTCAAGAAAAGGCGTATCTCGGCACAGCAGCGCACGTACCTGCGGACCGCTGGTTGTGGTAACGCCAAGCGACGGCCAATCTGGGGATGGGGAGGGGGGATGCGCGGCGCATGATTTTGACAGCTGATCAACGCGCAAGGCGGATCACGTGCGATGAGCACATGGAATCACGGGATATCGGGAGGGGAAGGAGCAGCGGAGGAGGGAAGAGGCAGGCGAGGCGAGGCGAGACGAGGCGAGACGAGACGAGACGAGAACCAGAAATGGCGGGGACGGAAACGGCTGGAAACGGTCAGGAGCTCTAGACTGCAGAAATAAGGGCGAGCACCTCGTAGGTTCTGCGGCGTGGCGCAGAGAGCGCACTGCGCGACGCTACCGACCGAGGGCATGTCCAGCAGCGTGCCGCACAAGCAGCAGAAGCGGTACGCGTTGGCAGGCACCGCCGCTGCCACGCCCGACCCTCGCATAGCTAAATAACGGGCGTGCGCGCTTCTTGCTGGTGACACCTCGTGGATAATGGCCGACGCTGGAGGGAGTTACGGGCAATCGCGGTGCGGGGTCCCTGGTAAGAGTTCGAGTGAAGGGGAGGTGTCGCGGGAATGGTTCAAGTGGAGTTTGGTAGTGGTAAAAATTTGGGATTTTGGTGTTTGGTTTTGAGGGTTGTGGGGGGGTTTTCGCGAGTTACGTTTTGTTGTATTTGCAATAGGAATGTTTCTTGCGGTTTCCATTCAACTCATGGCAAAGTTGATTTTTCAAACGCGGGGACTACAATCGAGCAATGGAGCTGGTTTTGATTCGCATTTGTCGCCAACCATCGTGATGACCTGACAGCTGGGACACGAACCTTTCGCTATCTGTCGCAGCTGTTCGTCATCGCATCCAACCCCCTTTCCCATCTTGTTCCCCCCTCCCTCCCACTCATCCTTCGCACTACCCAACCACAGCAAGCAGAACTAGTGGTGGGAGGGAAACCAGAGGTATAGACATCACACACATCAACTGCAACATTCATTGTCAGCTGGTGGTGTGGGAAGCGATACTCGTTGCTATGGCTCCCAAGAAGAGGAAGGCAGCTGCAAGCGCAGCGCCGGCTAAGAAGCCAGCCACCACGAGAGCACGCTCTGCGAAGGAGGCTGTTGCGGTCGCCGTCGAAGCGACAACCAACGATGCTGGGAATGCGCGAACTTTGATCATCGAAGCCTGGTACATACTCTTTTCGCCTTTCCATCGTGTAGTTATTTAAATTTGCAGATAAAGAGTATCGTTATCGTATCGCGCGTGACTGTAATTGTTGACTGGTCAGAACGCTTAATCTGTAATACTTGTCCGCGTCAAACCTGCAGCAAGTCCTGAGGAGCGTTTAAGACGCGCGCGGCGAAGCTGGAGAAGCTGATAAAGGCAGCACTGCCAGACGTGACCGTCTCCATCAACCCGGAAAAGGTGGGCCTCGTGACGAACCGATGCTGACAACCGCTCGTTGGCTTCAAGAAGGAATTCAGTGCTGACGCTTGTTGACGTTGCTTCTGATTTGATCCCTCGGTGCTGCATTGTATCTTGGTGCTTGCTCATGTCCAATCAGCCTCGCAAAGGATGCTTTGAGGTGCGACTGGCTGACGGTTCATCCACGTTCATCTCCCTTCTGGTGAGCTGCTCTCCCTCCTCTCCCCACACCTCCCCTCTCCCTCTCCTTCCCCTTCTCTCTCTCTCTCTCTCTCTCTCTCTCTCTCTCTCTCTCTCTCTCTCTCTCTCTCTCTCTCTTTCTCGTTCTCCCTCTCCTCCCCTCCCTCCCTCCTCCCCCTCCCCCTCTCTCTCGTTGTCATAGCACCTCTCCATTCTGATGCCGCCTTCTCTTGACCCACTTGCTGCTTAACGACTTCACCTGTGTTTCACAAGGCAATTTCACGTGTTTAGAAGTTTGTGTTTGTGTCACTCTTCTAACGTTTTCACTACAATCCAATCATGATGTGCTTTATATGCAGTCCATGCCGCGTCCGTTTGGGAAGCTGAAAGCGTTGGACATAGATGCTGAAGCAGAGAAAATAGTGAAACAACTCCAAGAGGCTGTGAAAGAGGCCAGCGACCCTGATGCAGAGGACGTGCAGGAAAAAGAGTAAGCATGAAGGCTTGTGTTGATAAAATTACGAAGTAGCCATGGAGGTCACGTGCTGCCTGGAGGGATGAGAAGACTGCGGTGCTATCATGACCTGCATAGGGCAAATGCTTTCGGCAACCCTAGTGTGGCGACCTCCAGCATTGTTAGTCTTTCCCCACTTGTCTGGCATGTTCAATTCCATGGTTATCTTCTCAAAACTCTATTCGCTGTTAGACTCAGGAGTTTACACTGGTACCCTGTTAGAAATAAAAAGTTGGTAGCCGTCCTTCATTATGTATCAATATGAAAGGGGAAGTATGTATGGCAAGATGGGACACAAAGTGCGTATGATAACTTTTTACTCACATGACTAAACCGTTGGACTGGTAATGGCAAAGAGGTGGGGGGGAGGGGGGTTGTGAGGGTGTGATGTGCAGGCTCTGGAGACAAGGATGGTTATTTGGTCGACTCAATACAAAACACCAGTATGTGACGGTAATAAGTTTCAAGGTAACAAGAAGATGCTGTTAGACGGCATGGATAGCATGTCATGGCAGTGTGAAGATGACAGTGTGGCGCGGCGAAACACAAGTCCTGAATCTCCACTCCTTCCCTCCCAGGCTCCCACCAAAGAATCTTCTTTGCCTTGAGCTGCGCCCAGTGCCCACTTCCTTCCAGCTGCTGCATCATATCCTGCCAGTGGCATGATGCATGCCGTAACAGCACAGCACAGCCCAACATACCACACCACCTCACCTCATGCCGCAACAGCACAGCACCAGCACAGCAGACAACACCATACCACACCACCTCACCTCATTACCTACCCATCCATTTTCCACATCTCACCACTCACTCTCACCAACTCACCACCAACTCGCACCACAATTACCACACAGAGACTGCAACAAATCACTGTCACCTATTGAGAATTTTAAAAAGTCACCTCACTGTCGCCTCAAACCTACTAGTCCCTTCAAACCTATGAGTCACCTCAAACCTACTAGTCCCTTCAAACCTACGAGTCACCTCAAACCTACAAGTTGCAGCGTGAAGCTCACCAGTGCAGCGTCAGGTTTGACGTCAGGTTTGAGGTCAGGTTTGACGTCAGGTTTGAGGTCAGGTTTGAGGTCAGGTTTGAGGTCAGGTTTGAGGTCAGGTTTGAGGTCAGGTTTGACGTCAGGTTTGACGTCAGGTTTGCGGTCAGGTTTGAGGTCAGGTTTGACGTCAGGTTTGACGTCAGGTTTGACGTCAGGTTTGACATCAGGTTTGAGGTCAGGTTTGAGGTCAGGTTTGAGGTCAGGTTTGACGTCAAGTTTGACGTCAGGTTTGAGGTCAGGTTTGAGGTCAGGTTTGAGGTCAGGTTTGACGTCAGGTTTGAGGTCAGGTTTGACGTCAGGTTTGACGTAAAGGTTTGAGGTCCGGTTTGAGGTCAGGTTTTACGTCAGGTTTGATGTCAGGTTTGACGTCAGGTTTGCGGTCAGGTTTGAGGTCAGGTTTGACGTCAGGTTTGACGTCAGGTTTGACGTCAGGTTTGACATCAGGTTTGAGGTCAGGTTTGAGGTCAGGTTTGAGGTCAGGTTTGAGGTCAGGTTTGACGTCAGGTTTGACGTCAGGTTTGAGTTCAGGTTTGAGGTCAGCTTGAGGTCAGGTTTTGAGGTCAGGTTTGACATCAGGTTTGACGTCAGGTTTGAGGTCAGGTTTGAGGTCAGGTTGAGGTAAGGTTTGACGTCAGGTTTGAGGTCAGGTTTGACATCAGGTTTGACGTCAGGTTTGAGGTCAGGTTTGACATCAGGTTTGAGGTCAGGTTTGAGGTCAGGTTTGACGTCAGGTTTGACGTCAGGTTTGATGTCAGGTTTGACGTCAGGTTTGCGGTCAGGTTTGAGGTCAGGTTTGACGTCAGGTTTGACGTCAGGTTTGACGTCAGGTTTGACGTCAGGTTTGACATCAGGTTTGAGGTCAGGTTTGAGGTCAGGTTTGAGGTCAGGTTTGATGTCAGGTTTGAGGTCAGGTTTGAGTTCAGGTTTGAGGTCAGGTTTGAGGTCAGGTTTGACGTCAGGTTTGAGGTCAGGTTTGAGGTCAGGTTTGAGGTCAGGTTTGACGTCAAGTTTGACGTCAGGTTTGAGGTCAGGTTTGACGTCAGGTTTGAGGTCAGGTTTGAGGAAAGGTTTGACGTCAGGTTTGAGTTCAGGTTTGAGGTCAGGTTTGAGGTCAGGTTTGACGTCAGGTTTGAGTTCAGGTTTGAGGTCAGGTTTGACATCAGGTTTGACGTCAGGTTTGAGGTCAAGTTTGACGTAAGGTTTGAGGTCAGGTTTGAGGTCAGGTTTGATGTCAGGTTTGAGGTCAGGTTTGAGGTCAGGTTTGAGGTCAGGTTTGAGGTTAGGTTTGAGGTAAGGTTTGAGGTCAGGTTTGACGTCAGGTTTGAGGTCAGGTTTGAGGTAATGTTTGACGCCAGGTTTGACGTCAGGTTTGATGTCAGGTTTGAGGTCAGGTTTGACGTCAGGTTTGAGGTAAATTTTTAGGTAAGGTTTGAGGTCAGGTTTGAGGTAAGGTTTGACGTCAGGTTTGAGGTCAGGTTTGACGTCAGGTTTGACGTCAGGTTTGAGGTCAGGTTTGAGGTCAGGTTTGCGGTCAGGTTTGAGGTCAGGTTTGAGGTCAGGTTTGACGTCAGGTTTGACGTCAGGTTTGAGGTCAGGTTTGACGTCAGGTTTGACGTCAGGTTTGACGTCAGGTTTGAGGTCAGGTTTGAGGTCAGGTTTGAGGTCAGGTTTGACGTCAGGTTTGACGTCAGGTTTGACGTCAGGTTTGACGTCGGGGTTGAGGTCAGGTTTGAGGTAAGGTTTGAGGTCCGGTTTGACGTCAGGTTTGAGGTAAGGTTTGAGGTCAGGTTTGAGGTCAGGTTTGAGGTCAGGTTTGAGGTAAGGTTTGAGGTCAGGTTTGAGGTCAGGTTTGAGGTAAGGTTTGAGGTCAGGTTTGAGGTCAGGTTTGACGTCAGGTTTGAGGTCAGGTTTGAGGTCAGGTTTGACGTCAGGTTTGACGTCAGGTTTGACGTCAGGTTTGAGGTCAGGTTTGAGGTCAGGTTTGACGTCAGGTTAAACGTCAGGTTTGACGTCAGGTTTGAGGTCAGGTTTGACGTCAGGTTTGACGTCAGGTTTGACGTCAGGTTTGAGGTCAGGTTTGACGTCAGGTTTGACGTCAGGTTTGAGGTCAGGTTTGACGTCAGGTTTGAGGTCAGGTTTGACGTCAGGTTTGAGGTCAGGTTTGAGGTCAGGTTTGACGTCAAGTTTGAGGTCAGGTTTGACGTCAGGTTTGAGGTCAGGTTTGAGGTCAGGTTTGACATCAGGTTTGACGTCAGGTTTGAGGTCAGGTTTGATGTCAGGTTTGAGGTCAGGTTTGAGGTCAGGTTCGAGGTAAGGTTTGACGTCAGGTTTGACGTTTGGTTTGACGTCAGGTTTGAAGGTCAGGTTTGAGGTAAGGTTTGAGGTCAGGTTTGAGGTCAGGTTTAACGTCAGGTTTGACGTCAGGTTTGAGGTCAGGTTTGAGGCCAGGTTTGAGGTAAGGTTTGAGGTAAGGTTTGAGGTCAGGTTTGAGGTCAGGTTTGAGGTCAGGTTTCACGTCAGGTTTGAGGTCAGGTTTGACGTCAGGTTCGAGGTCAGGTTTGACGTCAGGTTTGAGGTCAGGTTTGACGTCAGGTTTGAGGTCAGGTTTGAGGTCAGGTTTGACGTCAGGTTTGACGTCAGGTTTGAGGTCAGGTTTGAGGCCCGGTTTGAGGTCCGGTTTGATGCCAGGTTTGATGTCAGGTTTGAGGTCAGGTTTGAGGTCAGGTTTAACGTAAGGTTTGACGTTAGGTTTGAGGTCAGGTTTGACATCAGGTTTGAGGTCAGGTTTGAGGTCAGGTTTGACGTCAGGTTTGAGGTCAGGTTTGAGGTCAGGTTTGACATCAGGTTTGACGTCAGGTTTGAGGTCAGGTTTGATGTAAGGTTTGAGGTCAGGTTTGAGGTCAGGTTTGAGGTAAGGTTTGACGTCAGGTTTGACGTTTGGTTTGACGTCAGGTTTGAAGGTCAGGTTTGAGGTAAGGTTTGACGTCAGGTTTGAGGTCAGGTTTAACGTCAGGTTTGACGTCAGGTTTGAGGTCAGGTTTGAGGCCAGGTTTGAGGTAAGGTTTGAGGTCAGGTTTGAGGTCAGGTTTGACGTCAGGTTTGAGTTCAGGTTTGAGGTCAGGTTTGACATCAGGTTTGACGTCAGGTTTGAGGTCAAGTTTGACGTAAGGTTTGAGGTCAGGTTTGAGGTCAGGTTTGATGTCAGGTTTGAGGTCAGGTTTGAGGTCAGGTTTGAGGTCAGGTTTGAGGTTAGGTTTGAGGTAAGGTTTGAGGTCAGGTTTGACGTCAGGTTTGAGGTCAGGTTTGAGGTAATGTTTGACGCCAGGTTTGACGTCAGGTTTGATGTCAGGTTTGAGGTCAGGTTTGACGTCAGGTTTGAGGTAAATTTTTAGGTAAGGTTTGAGGTCAGGTTTGAGGTAAGGTTTGACGTCAGGTTTGAGGTCAGGTTTGACGTCAGGTTTGACGTCAGGTTTGAGGTCAGGTTTGAGGTCAGGTTTGCGGTCAGGTTTGAGGTCAGGTTTGAGGTCAGGTTTGACGTCAGGTTTGACGTCAGGTTTGAGGTCAGGTTTGACGTCAGGTTTGACGTCAGGTTTGACGTCAGGTTTGAGGTCAGGTTTGAGGTCAGGTTTGAGGTCAGGTTTGACGTCAGGTTTGACGTCAGGTTTGACGTCGGGGTTGAGGTCAGGTTTGAGGTAAGGTTTGAGGTCCGGTTTGACGTCAGGTTTGAGGTAAGGTTTGAGGTCAGGTTTGAGGTCAGGTTTGAGGTCAGGTTTGAGGTAAGGTTTGAGGTCAGGTTTGAGGTCAGGTTTGAGGTAAGGTTTGAGGTCAGGTTTGAGGTCAGGTTTGACGTCAGGTTTGAGGTCAGGTTTGAGGTCAGGTTTGACGTCAGGTTTGACGTCAGGTTTGACGTCAGGTTTGAGGT